GGTAGGACAACTCCTATAGCTCTGTTTGATTCCTATGCCATTCCTTTGCTGAGTGAGGGGAAAAAAAGCATCCCACAGCATTGTGGGAATTTTGAGAGTTCTTGAGTCTTGCAAAGGTCCCTGGGAGGCAAGTTCTAACAGAGGTTGCCTCCATGGAGCAATAACTTGGGAGAGGACCAGAAGTAGAGGGGCTGTTCTACCTCCTGCTGCCTTGGGGGTTCAGTCCCATAATTCAGCCTTTTTTCTGCTGGTAGCTGACTGGATAGCTCAGTGAGTTAAGTATCTGGCTGCAGAGCCAGAGGTTGGGAGTTTGACTCCCCACTGTGCCTCCAGAAAAGCCACCTTGTGTGGCATCGGGCAAGCTGCACAGTCCTAAAATCCCCCAGAAGAAAGGAATGGTAGACCACTTCTGAATATTCTCCACATGGAAAACCCTGAAAAGGAGTACCATTAGTCAGAATTAACTTCATGGCACATCATCATCAGTTCCTGCTGAGTTATGGAGGTAGAAATCCATTAAATATGAAAGTCCCATCCCTATCTGCAGAACCTTTCTAAAGCAGCTTGCAGTATGACCATGTATATGTTTTATTTTTCCAAAAGGAAACATAGCTGGGCATGCTTAAAGCTTTGGCTGCCCCATAAGTAGCCTTCTGGACACTCATTTCAGATACTACCCTGTGTAGTATTGATTTTTTTTAAAAAAAAAACTATTTGTAACTTTTTTCTTGACTTGATAGCTTCTTTATCCTGCTGTTTTCCTTCATAGGAATAGTCATACACTTCTTATTTGCCCCAGGACTCCTACTATTTAAACTCATTGTAATATTATGGGAAGGGAAGAAGAATGTTTGGCTCTTTGTGCACCAATGTTATCCTATGTTCTCTAGCCCATGAGAATTTTAGTTGCCTTTTCTAGATCATTTTTAGCTCTGCAAGCTGAGGTGAAATGATCAAAATGATGTTTGATATTCCGAATGCAGTCACACCATATATTTTATGAGTTCTCTATTATATTAGCAGTTTTATTATAATTTCCTTCTCTAAAATTCATAGAATGTGTCTTTTTCACAGCCACCACAAACTGAGTCAGTGTTCTTATCAAGCTATTTGTCACTACTCCAAGATCCTTTTGCTAGTCAGTTATTGCCAGCTGCGGCCTTGTACCTGTATATGTGTATATTTTTGCCCCAGTGCGTATGTTGCAGTGCCTTGGCGACAAGTGGCCTTCACTACATTTGTATCTATATTCAAATGAATACAGAATTTCTTTCAGCATGGTGCGGTCAAAGGAATTGTCTGTACTAACATGGAACCACTCGACTTTATATCAAAGTCTACAGAGGTACAACACAGAGCTCAGATATCTACCTTCTTGAACTCTAGCTACATGTAGGTTTAAATAAGGCTTTTAAAGCCTGAATGTTATTCCCAGTCTGGGAAATCTCAGAACTGTGTTTCTCAGACCCACGTTCTTCACATCAGGCTACTACATTTCAATAAGAAGACTGTTCTGTTCTGCTGATGTGAATGAAAACCACTATAAAGCAAAGGAGGGAGGGGAAGCTGTAGCCTTAAAACTGCAGACCAGTAGCTGCTGCCATCTCCTGCAGTTTTTGAATGTGACTCAACAAGACTGGCAAAGTCTTATATGGCACAATGGGTCTCCAAGAGAGAGTGTAATTGTATGTGCACGGTATATGCTTGTTAAAGTAGCACTATAATTCTTTCATTCTGAAACAGTAACACATAATTCTCCAGCCAAAATTATAGCCATCAAATTTGTTAAATAAGGCAGTTTGAAAGCATGTAAATGTGAGTAGATAAATAGGTACCACCACGGTGGGGAGGTAATGGTGTTCCGTGTCTAGTCACACTGGCCACGTGACCACGGGAGGTGTCTACGGACAAACACTGGCTCTACGGCTTGGAGACAGGGATGAGCACCACCCCTTAGAGTCATACACGACTGGACTAAATGTCAAGGGGAACCTTTACCTTTACCTAAGTGAATGTATGTATGAATCCAGTTAGAATTTTGATTCTAGGTTCAGCTAAAGATAAAGTGTAACCCCATGGGGAGGGGGAAGAGCACCCTCTGAGTATATATTAGCATGTTTTGATTTCTCTCCTCTCTTCTTAGACATATACAGGGGACTAGAGAAAAGCCAGCGATGGAGGCAGTTTTGCATTTACAGTCACAAGTGCACGTGAACAAGTTCAGGGAACTGTGGAGTGGGAATTTTTAAGCCACAACCTTTACCTTTACCTAAGTGAATGTATGTATGAATCCAGTTAGAATTTTGATTCTAGGTTCAGCTAAAGATAAAGTGTAACCCCATGGGGAGGGGGAAGTGCACCCTCTGAGTATATACAATGGGGTCTTGACTTGAGAACTTCATCCGTATTGGAAGGCAGTTCTCAAGTCAAAAAGTTTGCAGGTCAAATCTGCATTTCCCATAGGAATGCATTGAAAACCATTTGATCCGTATCTGCTCTTTTCCGTCCATAGAAACTAATGGGAAGCTGCTATTCTGCCTTCGACCACTAGAGGGGGATATTTTGTTTCTTTTTTTTCTTAGGTCAAGAAAGGTTCAGGGAAGGCAGGGAAATACAGTCCAGGCAGTACAGTACCAGGCAGTCTGAAGACTGTCTCCCAATTCACTCTCTAAACGCTGGGAGGAGTGAGGAAGCAGACAGGCACCCTTTTCACTGGCCAACAGTTAACTGAAAATTCAAATTTTGCACTTTCCCTGCCTCCCACATGGTTTTTTTTCAGTTCTTAACTCAAATCTAAGTATGTAAGTCAAGTCAATATTTTCCTATGAGAGTGGTTTTTAAGTCAAAATGTTCTTAACTCGAGCCGTTCTTAAGTCAAGACCCCACTGTATTAGCATGTCTTGATTTCTCTCCTCTCTTCTTAGACATATACAGGGGACTAGAGAAAAGCCAGCGATGGAGGCAGTTTTGCATTTACAGTCACAAGTGCACGTGAACAAGTTCAGGGAACTGTGGAGTGGGAATTTTTAAGCCACCCTTAAATTGCTCCTTATGCAGAATTCTGCTATGGACCACTTTGATCTTCTCAATTATGTAAGTTAAGATACTGTAGGAACAAGGACTTGCCCAAGATAACTCCCCGAGGTTCAAGGCCAAGAGGAGATTTTTAACTCTGTTTCCCCTGTTTGTACTCAACTGCTCTAACTGTTAAATATCACCACTTTACCAGGGAATTTAATCATATTAAAGTGGTTAACTGGCATATTAAAAAGATATAAGCCAGAGTCCTGTTTGTGTTAATCGAAGGTTTGTGGCTAATTGCAATTAATTGATGAGATGCCTGGCTAGAGGCCGCGGTCAAAGGAGGCAAATGTTGCCTTCCTATCCCCCACTGAGTTAATATCATAAATTTGTGGTCACTTGATGCACAGTTATTAGTGAAGCATTTACTATGCGATCATCCTAACTGCAGATCATTTCTGCTTTTTTTGTTGCTGATCTTTTCAGAAATATTTCCGTTGAACTACTATCACTGCATGTCCTTTTAATTTTTTTTAATTTTTTTATTTTTTTCCCTATGGCATTTGTGTGGATGTGTTGATAAATGTTTGTTGATCAGTCTTAACAAGAAGCTTAGGCACTTATTGGAAGGAAGTAATTCGGTAACCCAAAAATATATTCTTGAAGGCTTTCACAGCTGGGATCCAATGATTGTTGTAGGTTTTTCAGGCTCTTTGGCCGTGTTCTGAAGGTTGTTCTTCCTAATGTTTCACCAGTCTCTGTGGCCGGCATCTTCAGAGGACAGGAGTCAGAACTGCTACTAAATGAGGGGATCTTCAACCTGGTTCCAGAATGAAAAAAAATCATAGAATTCAAATATTATTCAGTATTTCATTTCTGAATTTTTGTGGTGGCATCATGACTTAAAGCTCCAGAAGTAGGAGACAGCTAAAACTGGATGAACACATGTCAAATTTAGGCATTGTAGAGGCTTTAAAAATAAGCCTCTACATTGTCCAGTTTTGACAGAAGTGTTTACCACTTAATAACTTTTGGGAAGAGCCAAAAGACCAGCCAAGACCAGCCAATTTTGGCATCCACTACTTCATAATTGTACTTTTCTTTTTGTAAAGGTGGTTTGGGAAGGCATGAAAATTCAGTACAAAAGTTATCCTGATCATCATTAGACATTTACATACAGATTTGGGACCTGTGTTTTTTTATTTCAGCCTTTTTTTTAAAGGGAAGCACATGCTGAGATAAATTGTAAAGCTGAAGACTTCTTTCTAGCTCTGAGACTACAAACTTTGGCAGGCTCAGAGCATCTGGGCAGATGAAGTGGAAGCCTGTCTGAAGGGGTTTGGCAGGCTAAAAAAGAGCTTATTCTGCCCAAAGTCAGTTTTAGGCATCTGAGTGTTGCGTCCAGACAGCTGAGTGATGGGATTTGTATAGCTACAGGTGGAATAGCAGAACTTGGCCTGAGAATAGTGCACATCTGCTGAGAGCTGTTCAAGACAGAGCAAATAACTCAAGTAGAAGGAAAGATGCATTGATTCGTAAGGTAGAATAATCCAGAAAATTCTTTAATGTTTTTATTGCTATACTAGCAATTTTATGTATTAAATTGACATTGTTCATGTAGTCCCTATTTTAAAAAAATCTCTTTTTTACATTGAGAAAGAATATTGAGAAGTTATCACTTAGAAACTAGGTAGTCTTTCCAAACAATAGCTTGCTGACACGTAATATCATAGTGCATATTGATTCGCAATAGGAATTTCAGTGAAATTCATCAATCACTTACCTATACAGTACTGCTTTAAAGATACCATTTCAAGAAGTGAATTGTAATTCACAAAACCTTCTTTTAAGATAAAGTCTTGTAAGTGGCACAGTACTCTCTTTGGCTAAAGACTGCATTTCTTTACAGGGAACCATGAAATATTGTGAAATGACCTTTTATCAGCAAAATCAGTGACATTACATATGTGTTCTTCCAGGTGATGGTGAATTGAAACAAGATTCTGTATCATGCCTTGAAGTAAGTACAAGCAACTTCAGTGTTCTTGTTTATCTCAAATCATTGTAATGATTTACCTTTAGATGTGCCATCTTGAGTTTCTGTTGAACAGTGAAAATATTGTAGAAATGCTTGCTCATTATATTCTGAGGCAAGATTGGAGAGATGGACTGTTCCCAAGAGAGATTCTGAGAAAATAGGCCAGCCCCAGAATGACCTCAGGGTATGATTGTGCTGAAGTGCATAAAGTATGATTGATAAGTTGAACTGAGTTGAAATAATGCTGGCAGTCACTGGCAGTATCAGAGGTTCTGGACAGAGTCACATAGAAATGGCTTGTCATATTAGGTTGACAATGTTAGTGGAGAGCATTGTAAAGGAAACTGAATTAAAGCACCCTGAGAGAGAATAAGCCCCAAGACAAGCTTATTGAATCCACATAATATTATAAATATAATGTTTAAGAACAACGATGGCTGAACATTTGGAGTAAAAGCAGGCTTGCTTCAGCCAGTATGAAGAGAGCAGAATAAAATCCTAGAATATGCTTGTAACTATATTCATCCTAAAATTATTTGATGTATTTATTTCAGTAGACAGAGCATAAATATGGAACAATTTAAATAAGATCCTTACAAGCAAATTCACCAAGAAGGAATGCCACTAACATTCATCACTTTAAGGCAATTCTCATATGAAACATTTCATTTTGAAGAAGTGGCACTACTGCAGTTATTACTATATTTGGTCTCCTAAACAGTATAGAAATTAGGTAAGATAAATGCCCAGAGTTTCTCAGCGAAATTAATGGAAATTTGGTTGCATAAGACTCAATTTGCTGTGCTAGAAAACTTATGGAGAAAGAGAAAAATTTAATGGGGGATACACTGGCTCAGTAAAGAGAGCAACAGATTATTATTACAATATCTTTTCCTATCTCTCTTCCCTGATGTAGTTGTGTGATGTAGTGAAATTAACTAATTAGATCTGGAAACATTATAAACTTCAAGAAATTTGTAAAAAAAACAAAAAACACAAAGTACAATATTCGATAACATGCTAATTAAGTGCTATATAAATAAAAAATAAATGATCTGAATTACAATAACTAGAAAATAAAAACAATAACTAGAAAATAAAATCAAAATCTCCCATCTCCATTGTTGTTGTTTAGTCGTTACGTCATGTCAAACTCTTTGTGACCCCATGGATCAGAGCACGCCAGGCCCTCCTGTCTTCCACTGCCGCTCATAGTTGGGTCAAATTCATGTTGGTAGCTTTGATGACACTGTCCAACCATCTGGTCCTCTGTCGTCCCCTTCTCCTCTTGCCTTCACACTTTCCCAACATCAGGGTCTTTTCCAGGGAGTCTTCTTTTCTCATGAGATGGCCAAAGTATTGGAGCTAGAGCTTCAGGATCTGTCCTTCCAGTGAGCACCCAGGGTTGATTTCCTTCAAAATGGATAGGTTTGTTCTCCTTGCAGTCCAGGGGACTCTCAAGAGTCTCCTCCAGCACCACAGTTCAAAAGCATCAATTCTTCCGCGGTCAGACTTCTTTATGGTCCAGCTCTTGCTCCCATAGATCACTACTGGAAAAAAAAAGTGCCTTGAATATGTGGACTTTTGTTGGCAAGGTGATGTCTCTGCTTTTTAAGATGCT